GAAGTCACTGAGCCCGCATCCACTGGAAAGATTTGCAAGTCATGGTTTTGGTTGTGGTCGTGGTGGTAGGTGTGGCGGCGGTGGCGGCGGTGGTGATGGTGGTGGCGGTGGTGGCGGCGGCGGTTAAGATTACTGGGCTAGATCTAACTGCTGGCAAATTTGAATCAGGAAAATCGCTAGTGCTATTGTTGCTTATTCGTGCGCTCGAGGAGGGTCAGCCAAAGAATCTTCCCGAAGAGGCGCTGGGCTCGGGTATTGGCAGCGAGACGTCAAAGACTTCGAAAACATCAAAGACTTCAAAGACCTCCAAGACTTCTAGGACGTCACAGACTTCACAGACCTTGCGCAGCCCAGAAGCCGCGGAAGGGCCTAGTGCCCCTCCTGTGGACACCTGGCAGTCCAAAGAGGATGCAAAGGCAGCCGACTTGGCAGCAGTGGTCGCTGACGACACCGGTGCAGAGTCAAGAGAGGACTTCCGCGTTATCCAAGTTCAAGACTGTCCAATCTTTAGAGTTTGGGGTTTGTTGTTTCAATCCATGTTTCTCTGAACTTCTTCAGAAGAGCCAAGGATGCAGAGGCTGTGGAAATGGAGCTGCAAGGTGGGGAGGAGGTGACAGAACATCCTCTAGATGAGGTCGAGGAAGAGGAGGATGCAGCGACCTCGCTTCCTGGACAGGTCCATGCTGAAGAAGACGAGACACTGTGGTGACGGGGCAAATATGAGAATCCTGAGGCTCTTTGTAAATGGACTGAGCCTTACGGTGCTCTTCGCAACCCTTAATATGTTCATCCTGCTACTCTGCCGAGTTCAACCAGGGGAATCAAGCAACCATCCAGCAATGAAGCTCTAGAGCAGCTAGGCGACCTCCGCATCTGGACGAGCTTGCCTCGCCATCTGGCGATCCTGACATCCGACCGGAGCAGGAACAGGTCTTGCAAACTCTTGCGAGGGGTGTCCGTCATAGCGGCTCCTGTTTGCTTCAGTCCCCGAAGCCCTCTCCTGCCCTTACCCCCGTTTCTATTCCAACCACCCAAAAGCGATCATTGTTCCAGAAGACATTGCCAGGAGAGTCCAGGAGCTAACTATGCGCCTCTGGATTCTCTGCCAGCCATTGGTGTTGAGGCTTGTGAGTTAGGGTGCGTACAACAATCCATATACGAATCGCAACCCAAATTCGTCAATATTGGGACCTGCACAAACAGACTGTTTGTACAGGCCTTTGTTGAGGGCTCTAGCTGATGGTTCCTGCCTTGGCATCTTTGCCCTAGGGAGTGGGGAATTGGGGCGCATGGGCTCAGATTTCAGGCATTAGACGCATGGATCAGGTGATTAGGGCTCATGCGTGCTGTTCAGGTAGCGAGGTCGCTACGCCTCTTTCACTTGCCAAAACACCATTCGGGCTAAAGCTTCAGGATTGGTGCTTGCTGTTGGGAGGGCTGTCAGGTCTTAGGATTTGGTTTTCATCCATCCTTTGCTGCTTTATGTCCATCGAATTGTTGATTTCATGCTTGGACTGGTCTTGCTTGAGCCGTCCATATAGGTATCTTCCGCTCGCTGAAGCTTGCTTTCATCCTTTATCCAGAAGTCAACTCTCTCGGAAGGGAACTGCAATCCCCTTATTCTCATTTCTCGGTCTGCAGTGGGCAGCATTTCACATTAGGCTGAAGAGCTACTGTAGTTTTGCATAAGCCTTTCTAGTTAACATATATGTGTGATGCCTGCATGTCCTGGCCGCAGCAATAGGAAGTTGACATAAACCCTGTATGTGACAATACATGGTGGTTCGCCATTTCGAGCCCCGGACTCCCCCACCAAAGTGCCTGGGCGTACCCATTTTGCAGTTTTGAGCCTCCAACCGTTTGACAATGTGATCCCCCCACTACATGCATCGCCACCACTGCAAAACCTTGAAAACGGGATCAGAAGCCAACCCGCATATGTTTTGCGCGAGGCCCGAACAGAACATCTTGAAAATGCGATCCGCGCAACAGGCCCTGGGAGTCGTACTTCTGCAGCTCGCAAGTCGCAAAAACCATCAACAAAAACCACACCACAAGCTTTCCTACTTGCGAAGGAATTATTATTTTACAGCTCAGCGTTCCTTGAAACGTGACATTCGTGCTATCAAAAGCATGAGTTGCTTCATGTCGGGGACAATCAGCCAGGGCAGTAGACAGGCACCAAGAACTATCTTTCCTCATCTGTGTCTGGCACCGTGCAACCCCCTTTTGTCTGTTTACTTGTCGCGTTTCCCGAGTTTCTGTCTGCTTATGGTTCCTGCTTGTTGTTGTTTGTCACGGTTACACACCGGTGTCATCATTGACGTGACCTTGTGAAGCCAGTCAAGGATCTATCGGACACGGAAGACGCGCCGAACACTGAGGTTCGTGTGCCTGTCAGCCCACTTAGCATGGACGGTCGCTTTGCCAGCCTCAGGCAGAGTTTCGCTGTTTTCAAAGTTGAGGCCTGAATGCCCTTGGAGAAGGTGCCCCCTCAACTTTTGGAAGGCACGATTTATACGGAGAGTCACATTAGTAGTACACGCAGAAAACAACGCACGTGATCAATAAACATTTGCCAGGGCCCCAAAAACACATCCAGGCTACAATGTATATGGATCTATGGTGAGGTTCAGTGACGAGGGCTCGCGGTCACGCCAGTCCACCCCTCTGGCATCTCTGGTCATGGAGCCCTATGCATCAACTCCCGACAACCAGCACCCTCCCTCTGAAGGAAGCTCGTCTGTGAACTTGAAGTCGAAGTTCAAATCAACTCGGATGACGACAAAGTCTTTGGGATCCTTGGACATCCGAAGGAACGTCTCATCTCCAGTTGCGGGAAGCACAGCCCGGCTGGGCCTTCCTGTCCCAAACACGCGAGCTTTTCGAGACATGGTTCCCTCTGCTGAGATGGCACGTCGCTCTTTGACGCTTCAGCATTCTGGAGGCATACTTTCCCCTACTGCAAAGACAGATGCAGAAGAATTGATAGGGAGCAGCCTGAAGAAGCTGCGCCCCATAACTTCGATACGTCCTCCCCGTTCACGACCTGTTGCTTGGGTGGATCGCAGACAGCATGTGAGTGAAGTTCGCACAGCCCAGATGGATTTGGGATGGGACATGGAGGGTCACATGCCCGACCTCTCGTATGCAGCGCCTGGCTTTCTGTCGCAGGCCCACTTGCGCTCTGAGGAATATTGGAAGGATCTTCTGGGCATTGATGATGAAAACATTGCAGCATTTCACTTTATCCAGAGCGATTTTTGTGGTAAGTTCATGGCTGCCTGCATCATCGTGTTTGTTTTAGTGGTGGGCCATCATGACACTGATGAACTTCCGAAATGGGGAGCAGAGCTGGTGCACGGCATCTTGGCCATAAGTTTAATCGAGGTTACTCTGCATATATGCAACCACTACCAGGGAGCTCAGTACAAGAAGCCGGAAGATAGGACCATCCTGACGCTGGATACCATCGCTGTGGTTGTGTCCTGCTGCGAGATCTGGATCTTCCCAGTAGTAGTGGGTCCGAGCCTTCACTTTTCGCGGATGGTTTGGCTCATCCGCTTCCTGCGTGTCATCAGCATGATTCCGTCTCTGCGAGAACTGACCCTAGGCGTGCTGGATGCGCTCCAAGGCCTGTTCTGGGTGCTCATGTTCCTTTTCATCTTCGTCTACGCCCTTGCCGTAGTGTTGACACGGATGATCGGGCATCGTGAGCGCAGCAAGGATCCAGATGTACAAGAGGTACAGGACATGTTCTCCAACGTGGGCAATAGCATGTTCTACCTCTTCCAGCTTACCAGCCAATGGAGTTTGGTGCCCCTCTTCCCTCTCCTCAAAGCTTCCCCAGCCACCTGTGTTGGCTTCACTCTCTTCTATATCTACTCAGGATGGGTCATAGTGGCCGTCATGACTGGGACGGTGAGCTTCACAATGATCTCCTTCAAAGCCCGCATGGTTCAGGAGGATGAACTTCGAGAGGAGGAAAAAAGGGTCTTCGTGAAGCAGGTGCTTGAAGACATCTTCCTTGCGCTCGATGAGGACGGGAATGGTGAACTCAGCTATGAGGAGTTCCAGGCCCTACTTCGATCCAAGGAGGTGCCAGGAGAGGGGGATGTTTTTGGAGCTACCTAGGAAAATGATCGCAGAATGAGACTGCACATTTGAATACCTTCCTTCATGCCGCGCCTGCTGCATACAGGTCCTACTCCTCCTGTCTGACAACACTGACATCAAGATCCAAGACCTGGAGGACATGTGGCAGTGGATAGATACGGACAAGAGCGGTTCCTGGCCTGTGCCAAGCACGAGCAGTGGGATGGTAATAACGTTCCACTTTGAGGTTGCGAATGTGCCCAACAGAAGGTCAGGATTCTATTGATCAGGATCCGTGATGGTCCCGTTACGGTTCGTTCCATCTGAAATGTGCGTCAAATCCGAGTAGAATGACCTGGCTAGGGCCTGGCATTTGCTGCAACACGTTTTACCCTGCACTCAGCACCACAAATTTCGGACTGTCTCACAAGCATCTGAGCTTCACCCTAGACCCTACACGCTTATACCCAGCCCTCCAGCCCTAAACCCATCATTACCAACCCAGGTTCGGTGACCATTGCGGAGTTCTTTGAAGGGTTTGAGATGCTGAACGAGCCCTTCCGGCAAAAGACCCTCCTGAAGGCGCGAAGGTTGGGCAGGTACTGCTGGGCTTGGGCATGGGGCGTAGTAATTTTGGGGTGTTGTGAGTTTGGGGTTTGAAGTTGGGGGTTCCAGGCGGTGTATGGTCAGTTCTCAAGATAGTCGAGGGACCTTGCAGTCAATAGGTTTGACCGCAGATGGGCTTTCCCGAGGCAGCTGAGCCCTTTCATGCCTGGAAGCACCAGGCAAAACGTCCACAAATCAATAGGCAGTGCAGCTGTGATCGGATTCACCATGTACAACTGGCACAGCAGGACTTTCAGAGTGTCCTGTCCTTAGGATCCTGATTTCTCACAAGAATACGTAACAGTAACCGTGATAAGCAATAACAGTGCGAATGACAGAAACAATAAGAACAAGAGAAACGCAAGCCATTTACTGAACAAATTCGAGTCAAGGCCCATTTATTTATGGGTGCGTATGATGGGGGCGGTGTTACGACTTTGAGTGACAAAAATCGGAAATTGGGGCTTCGCAATGTGGTGCGCTGGTGCCCCAATGCAGTTCATGCGCTTGGAAGGTTGCAGACATGCTATACGTAGGTTATCATACACGTATGAGACCCCGTTGCGGCTATATTGTCGGGATGACTACCAAGCAGGCGACCAAATCCAAACAAAATCCCAACCACCAGTGATCAAAACTCCCAATCTCCGCAGGTGCAAGACCCTGGACCTTTCTTGGCAAGCGTGTTTTAGTCCTTTACGGGGTCCTGGGGCCGAAGCTCTAGAGCGCAGGCGGTGAGGCCCCCCTATCGTCAGCATCAGGAGGATTCTCCAGAATTATTCTCATCGTTAAAGCTGTCACAATAACCTCTCTTGAAAAAGTGATGGCATGTCAATGTATGTTGCACGCGCAGGTTCATGACCATAATAACTGTAACCGCCGTTATTGCTCTTAAAGCAGGTTGTCGATATTCTCCCCATGCTCATGAGCATCTTATAAGCTAGTTTTAATCCCATGATTTCTGAAGTTGACACTTTTCCGCTTATCCTCTAAGACCCAGGAGAGGGTATCTGGGGAGATTCAGATAACCCAGAAGCGGCTGCGGGAGCTTGCGATGGAGAGCCTGGATGTCTGCTGCCACAACATCTACACACCCATGAACAAGAGCCCAGGCTGGAAATCAGTATGCTTGCAGGTTCCTGAATATACAGAATTAGAGCCATGCACCTTGAAGTTGTGGAGTTCTGAGATCGATATTTTCAAGGGATACGTATCCATACTTTCTTTCCCAAGGTGTGTAAGAAGGTATGGCGGACAACGTAGGTCATGAAAACCAGAAGGGTAGGTGAAGTGATATGTTTTAAATTGGTAGACTAAATTCCAGTTGTAAGTGTAGAGCAAGAAACGTCAGTTGTGTCAGCTAGAGTCCTCAATCTTGAGTGACTCTTCCCACATTAGAAGAATCTTCTGGGGGGTCCCTCTGACATGTCTTCTGAGCATGGACTTGTAGCTTCCTATATCCTGGCTGAGGATCCATGCAGTCCTGGAGCAGGTGCAAATTCAGCTTCTCACTGCCCTCAGGCTAAAACACCAGGCCGTGCCTGGGGATACAACACGGATTCCTCATAGCAAGTATCCCTCGCTTTTCCTAGCATTATTTCTGGCGATTTTATTGAAATTGTGGTGGTCTTTGTGAAGGCTGCAATGATGAGTCTAGGCATGTCTTTGTGTTTTGAATGTCAGCATATTCATTGTTGTTTTCATTGCTTGTATTGTCGGGAGGAAGAAGCAGGGGTCTCAAGGACTCGGATCCTGGGGTTGTGTCGGTCCGATCCGAGGGCTGGAGCCAGTCTCTGAGAGATGGGCCGGTCTGGCTCAAAAAAGTCTTACACTTTTCCATTGTAATTACAGTACGGCTGGCAGCATCAAGGGACCGTGGCAGCTGCAAAGGCAAGGAAACAGGTCCGGCCCAGGTACACTTCAACGCGCAGCCTGCTCCCATCACACAGAAATTGGGCTTGGGTGGCTTGGTGGGCCTTTTTGTGTGTCTGTGTGTCGGGGGGGGTGGGTACAGAAGGTTAGGCCTCCAATCTGAAGCTTAGACACCGAAAGTCATGACCGCTTGCATGTCTATTCTTGGAGAATGCTGTTACTTTTAAATTTGAGATGCGGTCGAACTACCTCTTTCTAAGTCTGGACTTAAACCTTCGAGTTTCATGGTCCAAGATGGTACAGTCTTGCAGGTCGGCCTTGTGCCTGTGAACTCACAGACAGAAGAGGATGCCACCCTGGCCGAAGTTCTGATTGGAGCCGGGCTGCAGGCAGGTGCCTGTTGGGGGTGATAGTGCTGCAAGCAGCAGGAGTAGTCATAGTGGCAGCGCTGGTAGCAGCAGGTAGCAGAAGCTGCCAACTATGTTTGTTTCCAACTATTGGGAGGGCGGCTTGCTACTGACATGGGCGTCTTAGTACTCAGGACAAAATCTTGGCGTGAAGCCATGTTGGAATTCACGGGGTAAACTTTGGAATGTTGAGGTCGGGTTGTATGAAATTACCCCTCCCATCTTTCCGCTCCAACCATCCATTGGTCTTTGGAATAGTAGGTGCAGGACCCGAGCAGGAATGAATGGTAGGGCTCTTGTTATAGACCTTAACCGAACTCTAGTTCTGGGCCATCAGGCTCCTAAAGCTGGATCTGAAAAGATGACCTCAACCCGGAGCATTGCTGTGAGTCTACATTAGCCATGCGAGGTGCCCGAGGTTGCCAATTCCCTGGCCAGCATTGAAGCCCGTCTGGAGATGCAGGTGAAGGATCTACAAGTTTGAGACACAGAATTATGAATGCAACAATCATACAGGGGAGTTTAGTGTGTGCGTGCATTGACCGGAATGGGTTTCCATAGATGGCATACCATGCTTTGGCAGCGTGCAGCAGATTCTTGTTTTTGAGGTTTGCGATTGGAGGTCCAGGGGGTTGTACACAGGAAGCATCTCGACTCTACTAGCACCAGCCAACTGTACTTCTGTATGAAAGCCATGATGTCTGACTCTTCCCCTGAAAGATGCTGGAAGCGGTTGAGCGAATCAACAACTTTCGGGCAGTGAAGACCCAACGGCAGCTGCGCTGGTCGCAGACCTCAAGCGCTCTGTTCTGATGCGCTCCTTCAAGTTCCGCCCTTAAGGTGGATTTTTCTTTGTTTATGGCTGCTGTCCAGCTCCCTGATATCAGTACCAGAAGCATAAATTGTTCTTTTCTCTCATTGGCTAGCCCTGAGATGCTTCAGGGCTGATCTAGCAGGTTCAGAAGAAGTTTCAACCGTTTGCTTCTCGCCACCAGTGCGGTGAACAAAAGTGAGTTCCTGACCTGGACACGCTGCTTGCAGCTTTCAGTTAACTTCGATGCAACACGCCGTACGATCATGCTGTTACTCTGTGTCGTCATTTGCGTCTAGAGTGATGATGTGCTGTCAAGTATGGTGACCAGTAGAGCATGTGTGTTTTTCCAGCTTTCACTGGCGACAAAGACTGTTGCCTTGTTAATGTTTTCTGCGGAGCACCAATCTGCTCCGGCGAAGGGCTGGTGCTTTCTCGCAGAAAAGCAGAGATGCAAAGCTCCCGTCATCTCTGCAAAATGTCCTGAAGAGCAGCAACACAGAACGCCATCCGCTCTTCTTGCTGGGATATCCAAACTGCCAGTATTTCATCATGATCACCAGCATGACATGAATGTCTCCTATGTTTTCAATTGGCAAGCTCTCTTTGTCGCCAGATTCGGATGAGTCCGCGTGGTTCCAGCTCCGGCACGTCGCCATTGAGCGCGTTGCATGGCTGGGCTTCAGCTTAAGGTTTTTGTCGTCGACATCCTCTAGGCACGGCATTTAAGACCTGGAGCTGCAGCCAAGCCCTCATCTTGCAATCTAATCACATGTGTACGCTTGCGGTTGGGATAGGGTTGCCTTCTCTTCCACCTTCATGAAGGCAGCTTTGCCGCCATCCATGCAAGAAGGCAGAATCAGAAGTTCTTTCTCCAAGAGCGGCGGATTATGTGCAGGTAGCTTCAACGTAGGGATCTCTCGGACACACCATTCTGTTGTGTTGGCGAAGATTATAGCCCCAACAACATGGGTGCAAAGTGTGATGCCCTACCTGCACACAGCCTTTGACAACAAACCGTTTACGGCACGCTACTTCTAAGCTCTGGTTTTGCCACAGAGCAACTACCCCTCCCGTTATTGCCTCAACATGTACGCCTTCTGGCACGTACTGGCTGAATCTCATACTGCAGAAAGGAATTTCGAAACCTTGCGAACGTATGTCTCCACACCCAAATGCAATGCAACCCTTTGACACGCAAAAATCCTCTTCAAGCAACCCCGAGGTCATTGCCAAACTTCAAGTCACTCCTGGTACCGTTTGGAGGCCCCTTGATGGAGGGTACTTACTGTAGGTTTTGAGGTTTGAAGACTCTATGGATGTGGTGCCTTCGGGTTGTAATGTTCTAGCTGTAGAGAGATTATTGTAAGAACGAACGAATTCGGAGAAGTTTCTTGTGGGTTGAGGATGTGACTAGGAGGAACCTGTGGCAGCGAGCGAGTCGCCTTCGCAGCCTCCTAACTTCAGATCAAGGTCCTCAAAGAGGGCTCATCCTGAGACATCCCCAAACTCCGCGTGCGAACCTTCTTCAAGGTTTCCATCCCGCTCCTTGGCCCTGAGCCAAATCCTAATCTCGAAGCTCCATCTATATATGTATATAAATATGCTATATGTATATAACTCTGCCTCCAAAGCTGTACATTGCAAACCCTGAGCACTTCCAAAGTCTAAGGCCCAACTTAACGGTCCTCCCTGTAGCTTCTGGCTTTTTCAGTTGCAGGCTTCTCGGAAGGCGGACCTGCTGAGGGCAGGAACAAGGCCTCCCGGAACACAGCAGGAATACAGGGGTGCCTTTTGTTGAACATGTTTCAGGGAGGCTACATGGGCTACATGGGGCACATCGGCACACATCGGGACACATTGTGGCGATCACTATGACTACAGTAAAGTCTTTGGGAGCCACAGGGACAGTACGATTTGGATTGAAGGCCGTTACAAACACCATGTAATCATTTGTGTATATATAATAAATACATAGTAATGCAAAATCTCCCAGGCTACTTGTAAGACCCTTCAAGTAGGTGTAAGAGAAGCAACAGCTGTACCATTAATTTGACCCTGGCTCTTTTGCTGTGAGCACTTCACTGACATTCCCAACATTCCCAAGATCAAACCCTTCACCCTGAGAACCCCAAACTATACTCTGGCTTTCTTCTTACTCCCATACCACAAGACCATCCAACTGGAGGCTGTTGCAAAGGCGAGCGCCCTCATCGGTGGTGGTGGGTTGGGGCCTCGGCTTGGGACAATTTTCATCCTGTAGCCGCATAGAGCATGCTAATGTAGGCCCCAAGATGCACTTATGTGGCTTATTTGGCCAGTGTCCTGGTACCTCTTGACGTCCTGAGATTCTGCGAAGATGGGAAGACATCCTCAGACTTAAAACGCCCATGTCATCGGGGCGGGATTCTGCTCATTTCTGTCAAAGAATCTTCGATTGGTCTTGAAGACACAGTGAAGACACCACGCCGAGCTGGCCTTTTACTTGGTTCGGTTCAGAGTCGCAGCCCGACCTGTCCTTGCAGACCCCCAGAAGGAGTTATCCCTCGAAGCAATGGAAGCCTTCCCCGCCGAAAATGCAAAACGGTGCTTACCACTTTGACTTGGAGCATCCTTGTGTCAGGCCTGGGAGAGTACCACCTGGTCCCCGAGCAGCGCTGGACTGAGTCCTATGCATGCGAGAGTCAAGGAACTGCGCTGGTGGTGCTTATGATATTTAGTTTGTTGCAAGGGATACTTGGAAGGCCGGCTGAATCCAGCAGGTGGCCGTATGATGGGGATGATTGTGGTTGTCATTTTTGATCGCAGCGGTTAGAGGCGCGTTGAATCCATTGAGTCAAAGGCATTATGTCTTTGGGTGAAGCTCTGAGCCTTCGGCACCGAAACACAATAATACCCCAAGTCTTACTAAGATGAGCGAGGTCTGAGAGGAGCAAATCAGGTGCATTTCAAACTTGAAGTAGGGATTTATTCCAAGCTCAAATGAAGTTTTTGCCACCACAACTCCCAGAGTATACGCCCCAATTCAAGTTCCTAATTGAAAAAACGAATAATTCCAAAACCCCCCGCCGACGAAATCTGACAACTCCGCACCCCAAAAACTGAAGCTCGGGAGCAATTCAGCTCTGCCGCTAGGGTCCCGGCATGGCCGTGTCTGCAGCATCTCCGGCTGTCCTGTGCTAAGTGTACTTCCCTGTGCTGTACTGTCAAAGCAAGGCTCACTTGACTTGTTTCTAGAGCAGGAACTGCTCCCGTCTTGGATTGTCCAACCTTATTCCACTGTTTTTGTTCCAATATGCTGAATTGCACCATTCCACGGCGTCTTGATATGTCCTAGTGCACAGTGCTGTGACAGACAGTTTCGTGTCATGTTATATGGTCTTTGCCTGTGCGTGCGTTTGCAGATCTCTCTCCATCTTTCTCTCTTCTTGCTTTCACTTTCACGTCTCACCTGCAAGTTTTTGCTTTCCCCATTTCTGTCCAAGGCTCGGTTGCGGAATTACCTGGCTTCGAAGGCATGGCAAGAGAAGCCCGCGCGTGCATCTGGCTTGGTACGTATCATCATGCTTATCATCGCAAGGTGACGCGAAAGCGTGGTGGCGGCGGGGTTGTTGGCAATCGACTCAGCAATTGATGCGATTCTTGTAGCAGGATTTTGAGGCATGGACGCAGCGTGTGAAGGATCTGGACCTTCCACCCTGGAGACTTGGCTGAGGTGGTGGTGTTTTCCGCTCCGAAGCAAAGTCGAAAGCCCAGATGCTAGCACATGAACCTGTTCATCCACCGAAATGTGGGGTTCATAAACAAACCAGAAACAAGCTCCGAGTTTGCAGGAAACTGTTGTTTGTACGGGTCAAGCATCAGACGATGCATGACATACTATCTTCAATCTGCCCAGTGTCCGCTTGATCGAGTCAGTGAAGAAAGTGGTTCAAGTGAGAGCATTGGGGCAGGTGGGTCGCGCAGCATTGCTTTACAGTCCTGGAACATGAGAACCCTTGATCCTACTCCGTAGACAGCCTCTCAGTTCTTTGACCAGTAAAATTAAAGCCAACACCAAAGCCTCTAAACTTTTCGGCCTTGAGCTCTAGTCTCTTTCTGCTTAAGCCTCTCGAGCTGCAATCAGGTCCGGAGCTCCAGGAAGCCGCAGCCCCGGCAGTGCATGGATGACATTCTCAGCTGATTGGGGCTGGAGTCTACAGCATAGACCTTAAGTCGTAGGGGTAAAGGCCAGGAGGTTTTTGGCGGTTTTGGCTTGGGATTTAGGTCTGGGGCAGGGTTGTGGTGACAAACCTGAAGAGAGCGAGGCTTCGCATAGACTTGTGATGCCCCGGAACTTGGAATTTCCTTGGACTTTGCAGAGTGCTGTGAAGCGTGCCCAGCGTGCATTTTGCTCCATGGGATAGCCTTTGATGTTCATCCTGAAAAACATCATGCTGGTAGTCAGGAATTCCTCAAATGGCAGTCTCCCCATATGTCCTGAAATAGCACTATTGCCCCTGTCACAAGGGCCACTCGTAATTTTGAGAAACTTCCGTTGGTTTCCCCAACAACATCGACGTTCACCCCAGCGCCCGATACCTCACGCACTGAATTCTGAGCCTGGAAAACCTGCAGCCGAAGGTAAATGCCCAGACCCACCCCTTTCCTTAATATTGTTATGATGATCATTCTTATTGCTTGCGTTGCTTCTTGGTTATCCTCAATGTGAATCCTCCTGCTGCGATTGACAGCTGCAGTCTGTGACCTTGCTTCAGGCGAAGCCGCCGAAGATGGAGGCTCGCTTCTGCTCGCTTGAAATTTTCGCGTCTGTCTGGATCTCTCCGGACGCAACTTGCGGCTGCCCCTGCTCCATACACAATTGCTTCTCGCATCTCTTATGACCTTAATTGCGGTGACTGTGATTGCGGACGTCAGCATCGCTATCATCACCATCATCATGATCATCCCCGTCGTCACGCCCCCGTGGTTGTCATTGCTGCTACCTGCCATGCTGGCGCTA